CTACAACCTGCGTCCAACACTATCAATCTTAGTGTACATAATACTTCCTTGGGTTTAAAATATAAACTAAACTTCAATGGAGGGTTTAGTTTTTTTTTTTTTTTTTTATAAGATAACAGTCATTTTTATCTAAGCATTTAATAAAAGGAAAATTGCAAATAAAGACCTTTGAAAATATAAAATTGCAATTTAGGTACTTCAATTCATAAAATTGCTGTGAGAGACCGGGTCTCAAATATGAATTATGAAATGTAAGGAAAAAGACTAAATTGCCCTTCTCTTTCTTCCATCACCTTATCTTCTTCTCTTTCCCACTGCGGTCCAATCCAGAAGTTCTCTCTTCCCCCCTCCTTCTCTCTCTTCCATCACCTCATTTCTTTCTCTCTTCCAGTGACCTCGAGGCTCTATGTGGGGTGTGTGAATTAGTGGGGATTTAGTTTAGGGAGCATGGTGGAGTGATTTTATCGACTAAGGAGAGAGATTTTTTAACTGGGAAGATTAATGGAAGGGCGGTGCTCAATAGGGGCTAGAGTTATGGAGATTTATGGATGAGAAATTCTGGTAAAAATTGGATCGATGACAAAGTATAGATCCCCATTGCTCTGTCACTGCATCCAACTACTTGTCCGCTCTAAGTTCCACTGTGACAAGCAAAGCAAAGATGAACTCAAGGGGTGGGTGGAACTATCAATTTCATGCACGTGTTGAAGAGCTTGGACGCAAGCCTTCTCCCATTGCACAAAATATTGACATGAAACAAAAAGAAGGGAAAGCACATGTGCGGTTTGGTTGGGAGAATTGGACCGACCCCTTCACAATGTTGCTCAATCACAGAAGCTCGAATGGGGTTTTGATTGCAAGATTGGGCCCCCCTTCAATGGATGCCGCTAGGTTGAGAAGAATGATACGAGGTTGGGGCATCCTAGATCTGTGACCATGAAAACGATGATGAGCAATATTTTTTTAGCAACCATGGGGAAAGAACCAAAGTGGAGGAGCTTGGGCACCCAAGTAGTGTTTTTTTTTTCCCCCCTGGTTTTGGTTTCCTTGATTTTAGTTTTGCTTCTTTCTCCCCCTCACATTACAGAATCTCTTCTTTTTTCTTATTTACTCATTTCAACAGAGAAATTAGAATTATATAAAAACCTTATCGGAACTTGTTATTGGTCTTACTTAACTTGTCATTGACCTAATTGAATTTGTTATGAATCCTATCTCAGAAGTGCTTACTATCAAGGAAATCTGTAAATTTTGATTTCAACAGAGAAATTTAAAATTGTATCAAAACCTTATAAGAACTTGTTATTAGCCTTACTTAACTTGTCATTGACCTAACTGAACTTGTCATTTTATAAATAAATGTGGAAATTCAGCTATTTTAACAGAAAATCTCAAATTTGTATGAGTAGCTTATCAGAAGTTGTCATTGGTCTTACTTAACTTGTCATTTCGTAAATAAATGTAGAAATTCAATCATTCTAACAGAGAATCTCAAATTTGTATGAAAACGTTATTAGAAGTTGTCATTTGACTAACTGAACTTGTCATTTCGTAAAGAAATATAAAAATTCTGTCATTTTAATAGTTTAAGCTTAAATTTGTATGAGTAGCGTCATTCAACTTATTAAAGCTGTCATTAGCCTTACTGAAGTTGTCATTCATCCAAGAATGTGAAAATTGTCATTTTAATGCATAAACTTAAATTCTTATCAAATGCTTATCAGAACTTGTCACTTGTGTCACTAAACTTGTTATTCATCTTAATAAACTTGTCATTGGCATCTCATTGGCATTAAATCAACACTTGTTATTAAAAGTTTGTAATAGAAAATGACAAGTTTGTAATAAAAAATTACAACTCTGCAATAAGGAATAACAAGTTTATAATAGGAATTACAAGTCTGCAATATGAAATTACAAATCCGTAATAAGAAATAACAAGTCTGCAATAGAAAATAACAAGTCTACAATAAGAAATAACAAGTCTACAATAAAAAATAATAAGACTGAAATGAAAAATCACAACTTTAATATAAGAAATTATAAGTTTGCAACAGAAAATAACAAGTCCGAAATAGAGAATTATAAGTCTAAAATAAAAAATTATAGGTCTAGAATAGGAAATTATAAGTCTCTAATAGAAAATAACAAATCCAGATAACCATCTAACATCGATGACATCAAAGCTAATTTTGAACATTTCTTGACAATATCAAGTCCAGGCAAGCATCTGATAACTGCATTCATGGATAAAGTAACATATAATTATCATTTGATAACATATAATCATCTGAATGAGGGGGTGTTATTGGTAGGCTAGGCTTCACTCACCTGTTTCTCAAAATGCATCCTCTTCAAACCCTGCAACAAGGATGTTAAGAGTTGTTAGCTTATACTCGAAAGGCTTGGATTTCAACTTTTGTGCTTCTCGTTGGGCTGATTGATTATTTGTTCATCCCTTTCTAAGTTCAAAGATAAAAAAACGTTGGGACCTAGGCGAGTGCTTCGCTTGGTTGCTTGAAAGAGCTAAAAAAAAAAAAAAACCTACCCACCCACAACTCAGCACAAACACAAATGAAATCTATCTGATATATTGACTTAAATGCTTAGTTGAAATACTTAGTTGAAAGAGAAAGATGAAGCAAGAGAGAGGAGAGAAGGATATGGGTTTGAGAGGACGGAGCAAACGAGGATATGTGAAGCCGGTGGGTATTTTTGTCTTTTAATCAACATTTCATAATTACAAATTAGGACCGAGTTCTTTGCAGCAAATTTTCAAATTTAGAGTCCCTGATTGCCATTTTATATATTGAGGGGTCTTTATTTGTAATTTTCCCTTTAATAAATCTTTCCAATTTTATCTCATACATTATCTTCCTCTTTGATTCATTTATTACATCTTTTACCTATTCTTTTTATTAATAAGGGCATATTTCAAAAATATTTTAAACTGATTTTAACTAATTTCTTGATAAACATAAATGGATAAAATTTATTTTATATTTTGAACAGGAGAGAGTAATATCTGAAAATGCCATAAAACTCTGCTCTGTCCTGTTAGGGGAAAAAACGATAATGCCATTAAGTTACAGCATATAAATTCATATCTCCGGTTTAGTCAAATACAGTTCATTCATGGCGATACATGGCGATACTAGGAACTTGAAGAAAAACATTCTTGCAGCATGTGAACTAAACATTGGGGGTTTGTGAGGATAAATTGCGCTCATAAGAAGAAAGAACAATTATAAAAGGAGAATGGTTACATGTGAAATAGCGTCATAGATGAGCATGCCTCCAGAAGATATGTTCCAGATGGCTTCCTTTAGCAATATAAAGCCATAGCATACCTGAATAGAATTGTCAACTTTCAGCCATGACTTGGGGCAATTCTTCAGTTCTAGAGGGAGTGTGGCATAAGGCTTTAACCTACTGTTATCAAAGCATGGCTAATCAGGACGCCATTCAGTTCTACAGCCATACCTTTCATAGAAGGCACCAGGAAACAGAGAGATTAAAGAGTAATTAAGATGCAACATGACTCATTACACTGAATCCGATTTTCAGGACCATTTCAAAGGCTTTGTTCAGTGCTGTTCTCCCGATACACCAATCATCCAGATGTGATCCATGACATTTATTGTCTAGCAAATGGAGCAACACTAAGACATGAGGAGTTAGGACCAATTAACCAGCTCAATTTCCATTTAGATTTCCTGACTTCGGACGCATACTTTTGCAAATCATCCCAATTTATTTTTATCTCATTCAACATGTAAGGAGTTAGGACCAATTAACTGGCTAAATTTTAATCCATGGCACAAAGACGCGTTATCCAAAATTAAAGGACAGCAGAGTGTATGTTACCACTGATTCTGACAATATTATTAGTTCCAAAAAGTGCATCGCAGAGGTATGCTGTGACACCTTTTAAGCTGAAAGGGTTGTGTAGTCAGCATGACTTCTAATCTTCTTTGTCAAATAAGGAGACCTGCAGAGAGTGATAGAAATGCTGGTAAATTTTTATCAACACCATAAACATTACTTTTCAAGAAATAGAAAAATGTGACACAGTTGCAATAGTGAGCGGTTAATTATTTGTTCTTCCTCATGCCTAAATTGCAACGAGAAGAGTTTATCATGGGAACTTTATTCACTACAAAGCATTAAAATAACAAGAAAAAAATTGAACATTCCGCATCCTTGAGTTGGGTCTATTAGGAGTTTAGGAATTTAAAAGCCTCATTCTTAATCTTCCCTGATTGGAAAGTAGCAGAGTTACAGTCAAAAGTCTTTCTCTTCTCTAAGCAGACATAGCCTAACTCACTATGATGAGAACATGATATTACAGTCACCCATAAAGTGATATCCAAAAGTGCAAAATGAAGTGAAGATCAAGAATAATCCTTTTTCATGATTTTGTTTTAACCATTTCTGAATGAAAGGGAAAAGGCATTCCAGGCCTGTACTTTTGGTGATCAACAGAAACAATTATGATCCTTTAAATAATAGGTTTTAGAAATAATCCAATATAAACAGCATAACAATGTTAAAATTGAAGCCACGTTGCAATTTCAACAAAGAAATAGTTCAGCTACACTCAAATGAGCTAAATTCAAAATGCCACTAAATTTGTCTGCCCACGATGGGAGACGTATAATTCACAGAATATTCTCAGTATATCAGTATATCAAACGGGCAGGCAGAAAAGTTGTATAGAATACCTCAGTTCTTATGAAATAATGGTGCTCCTCTTTTCCTTTAATCCACCTTCTTTCAGAAGGAAAAAACGGGAGATTGTCTTGCAAATTGCAAGCACGTGATCAATTGATCATGTATTAATGCATCAAGGCATAAACTTAATGAGCATCATGACTAACAGGCCTTGACCATTTTCTATAGTAATGGAGATTCTGTAACTTGTCACGGCATGGCATACTCCAAAGCTGAAATACGGAGCTAACTGCCTCCTTTGATACATGCAGCAAATTGAGATAGAATTAGTGTTCAAATTTCGCAAGTTGATACATGATCCACTCTTCCAGCCTTGAGTACCCATGCTTCTTACAAGCATCACGGGCTATGGTTAACATTGGAATTGAAGGCTCAATAGGCATTGTCTTCAAAAAGTTCTCAAGTTCATCCATGTGTCCATGTCGGCTGTAAAGTTCAATCATGCAGTTATAGTGCTCCAACCGAGGCAAGATACTGAATTCATTGCTCATTGACCTGAAGCATTGGGTTCCAAACTCAACAAGGCCTTCTTCTATACAAGCAAACAGGATACCCTGAATGGTCACATGGTCTGGTTGGGTGCCTTCCTCCACCATTGTCCTAAACAATTCAAGGGCTTCTAGACCCCTATGATTGTACCAGCACCCAAATATTATGTGATTCCAAAGGAACACATCTCTAGAATCTGCCCCTTTAAAAACCTCAAAAGCATTCTCAAGAGAACGAGATCTAGAATACATGCATATCAAAGCAGTTACAATAATAGTATCCATCTCAATTTTATGTCTAATTATATATCCATGAATTTGTTTGCCATAGTGAATTGCACAGGTATTTGCACAAGCTGTCAAAAGGGTTGCAATCATATATTTAGTTGGTTTTATCTCCCACTGCATCTCTAAAAATATTCTTAAAGCTTGCTCACCTAATTGATGCTGAGCATAGCTAGTCAACAAAGCATTCCAAGAAACCATGTCATGCCCGTAACTCATTTGGCTAAACCAAACTCTGGCACAATTCAACATTCCACATTTACCATACATGTCAAGAAGGGCATTGCTGACCATAAGGTTAGTGTGGAATCCACGTCGATAGATATAACCATGAATTTGCTTCCCCATTTCATGATCTGAAAGTCCAGCAGACAAGTTTAACATCAAGCTAAGAGTGACATGATCCAATGCGTTAGTTTCATCAAGCATCAAATACACAAAATCCAATGCCTCTGACCATTCAGAGCAACGGGTATATCCTGCAAGCATGGAATTCCATGAGATCACGTTACGTTCAGGCATCTCATCAAAAAATTTCCTTGCCTCTTGTGTTTTTCCACTCATCGCATACCCTGACACAATTGAAGTCCAAGTGACCAAATCCTTTGAGCCAAGCTGATCGAAAATCCTAGAACCATTATCTAGTTCACCACACTTCACATACATGTTAATAAGAGAGCTTGAAACAATATCATCTTCTTGAAAACCCAGTTTAATAATAACTCCATGTATTTGCATCCCCTCCTTTAGTGCAGATATGCTCGAACAAGCGACAAGAGCATTTGAGAATGTAAAGTTGAATGGCTTGATTTCGGTGGAGTGCATCCGTGAAAACATGATAATGGCTTCCTGACCATCACCATGATCCAGATACCGTCTCACAATCACATTCCAGGTGATGGCATTAGGATATTGGATCTCATTAAACATTCTACGGGCATCACACATAACCTGACACTTGGCATAAACATCAACAAGAGAACTCCCTAGAATTACATTGCGATCCCAACCATATTTTGTTATGAGCCCGTGAATTTGCCGTGCAAGATGAAGCTCAGATACCGCACCACAAGAACCAAGAATGCTAGCAAATGTGATATTATTTGAATAAATTCCCAACTTATTCATGCATTGGAATAATGACAATGCCTCATCTGGGTAACCCCCTTGCGCATAGGCCGTGATCATTGCATTCCAAGACCCTCCATCTCTTTGTGGCATTTCCTCAAACAGCTCCCTGGCATCATTCAGAGAACCGCATTTACCGTATGTTTCTATTGCCCGGTTAAGAAGAAAAACCGGCGGGACAGGAGAGAAGGTGACCAAATGAGACTCGACCTTCCGAGCCTCAACAATGGCTCGATGATAGGAACATATCTGGAACAGATGAGCATACAGGCAATACGGGAATTGTTCAGGGAAAGCGAAAAGTACGGACACAGCTTTTCGGAGGCGACCCGCTCTGAGGTAAGTGACGATTGAGTTGATTGCTTTTCGAACACTTGGGGGTTCAGCTTGGACCTTGAGATTTCTGTTGTGAAGGAATTGGCTGAGTACAGAGGCAAAAGTCTCACCCATGCAACAGGCAACGATGGCTTGATACTCAAATTTGCCAGACCCAGAACTTTAAATGGAAAAATCCAATTTCCCATGGCATGTTACTCAATAGGGCTTGAAAAGCTTCCATCGTATTCTCGCTATGGTTCCAACTTCCTCAACACATGATCACAACTAGACAGAACAAACTCACAACGAAAATGCCATAACACTAATTCCTCTAACTAGAGTATTGCTCGGGCCCCCAAAACTCGAAGCCTTGCATCGTCTTATTCTACATTAAATCCTGACCCTCTCTTCCCAAGTTACCTCCTGCTACCTTATATCCGAAACATTTTTGGCAATGATTTAGGGTTTGTTTGATTTCTTTTTTCAAAATAATTTTTTATTTTAAAAAAATTGTTTAATAATTTGTTTTTAATAAAATGTTTTTAAAAAAACAAACAGTAATATGTTTTTAAAAACGAAAATATTTTTTTGTTTTTATTTTCATTTTTTTTTCTATTTTTTGTTTTGAAATTTGGAAAAGAAGTCTTCTTTTTTGCCTGCCACCCGCTATGTATCACTGCTGCCGACAACCACCTCTTGCCAAATATGATTTTTTTTATTTTTTTTAAATAATTATCCAAACATATTTTTTGTTTTTTTAATTCTCAAAACTTGTTTTAAAAAATAATTTTACAAAATTGTTTTGAAAACAAGGGGAGGAAAATAATAAAAAAACCAAAGAAGCCTACAAAGTCCGGTTTCTCTCAGAAGCCTCCTTCTCAGCAATCTAGTCAATCATACGGCTCATAAATAAACACATCATGCATTAACCGGCTATAGACAAACAATTACAGATTTGCTCCATATCCTGCATTTCAACAATGAAGAATCATCTATTACAGATTTGTCCAAACTTTTGTTAACAAAATTTAGCAGAATAATTAAGAATAATAATATTAGCAATAAGCAGCCCTATTCTTATCCATTGACTGAATAAGAACAAACAAACGCATTTGGAAGCTAAATTTTAGCACAACTAAACAACATTTTTACTAGAAACTAGAAAATATAATTCAAAACAAAAGCATAATTACTACAGAAAACTAACAAAGAAATGAAACATCATTTGCATTTAGACAGAGTAAGAAGAATGAGGCAGCCGTTAACATAGACGGAGATTAAGCCAATTAATAATCATCGCCTTCTAATCAGACGCATGACTTCGCAGGCCAAAGAAGCAGAAGTCAAAATCATGGACAAAAATCTTCGCTTTTCTAATCAAATGTGTCAGCTTTTCTAACTACACTAACTTTTTTCTCCGTACTAAAGCCACCATCGATGGGCAACACGATGCCTACATTGATGACAAAGCCACGAAGCTTCTCCGTGTCCTAGAATGTCACGACAATCTCCATTGAAAAAAGGGAATTGCTCTTGCTTTTTCACCAGGAGAAAACAGACGAGTTTGAAATAGTTTATAAATAACTTTTTAATTATGATTCATAAAATATAAAGTAAATGTATAAAAAAAATTTTGTTTCAACTTATATGAATCATACTTATAAATAATTTTAATCATGATCTTAAAACAAGCCCAACATAGCCGGCTATGCCATTTTCCTCACCGTTTCGAAGCTATGCTCCAATGGACTGGCCTGGGCATCATATGGCTTCGGCAATCGTTTGGAAGATTTTTGTGAAACGTGGAGGAAATGATGGTCGTGGCTCTACTTTCCCAAATATACCATTTACTTCTATTTGTACAATTTTGCAATATGCTCGCTCCTACCAGAAACAAAATATTAATACTCCAACAAAAATGTAAGCAGGAATTTTCCAAATCAACTCAATAATACAGCACAAGAACCAAATTCCTCTTTTACACCATTCCACAAACAATTTAAAAACATTTAACCATCTTAATTTAATTCAATTCTTTTACAAGATTGCATATCTCAGATTAAACCATACAATAAACATCACACTTAACCAATCAACAATTCATATACCTTTCCAGGATTAATTACAACACTCTTATTACCTTGTTCCATTAGTAGCCAAGCAATTTCAAGCACCCTTGCGACAACACGCAGTGACATATGTTAACTTCTCAACATTATTAAATTGACACATAATTAAATTCCATAATTCTCTTTTGCAATCATCAAAATTTTAATGCCATACAAATCCAAATAAATTTCATTCCTCACGTCTAAACTAAACAAAATCTCCAAGTCTCATTCTTCTTTCGCGCAGTTCGTGAAACACTTTATTAGCATTCAACTTAACTCAACAACCAAACATCTTAATCCGCAAGCTAGCAGCCATAAATTATTGCTAACCCCTTAAACTTTAATTTTCCCTTTCAAACATTTCATCAAACACCCATCATGCATCAAAATTCAAGTTAACAAAACAAGTTTCTTTCTCCTCAACTTGTAGCAATGACCTATTCAATCCTCCCTTCTCTAACTCGAGAATTCTACCAGAGCAGCATACAATAAAAGCGGAAAAGTTTAATCTTACCACTAGAAGATTAAAAAAAAAAAAAAAAAAGAACTAAAGGAATAAGTGGCTGAAATCCATACATCTGCACACACAGCCGCAGACAAGCCACAGGGAAGAGTCAAAACGCAACAGCAAGAGGAGTGAAACTCATCTAGACTCACACTTCAATCTTGCACATCACATGATCAAGAGAGAGAAGAGAAAGCGACGCAGGCTCCCCAGACTCAAGACAGCATCAGTTGAGGAGGAAGGAAAGAGAAGAAAGAAAACAAAGATCACCGCAAAAGCAAAGAGACGGCGGCGGATAGACGGATAGCAGCACACACACCATCGGCAAATATGGAAACCGGGGAGGATCAAGGAAGGAAAAATGATTTGGGGATTTCAAGATTCAGAAGCCTCCAAGCTTCCTCGCCTCAGCGCACTGAACCCTGGGAAAGAGGAAAATTAAAAATAAAAAATTTAATACAAATTTCCTTTTCGACAAAGCCAGGATTCAAAGTAGCTACCTCATGCATGATGAACAACAACCTCCGCTGTCACCCACCCAAGACTTCTCTTGATCAATAAGCTACCATAAGTCACAGGAGAATGCTAAAGAACTTATAATTAAATTATCAGGGTATTATCTTTCTTTTTTTTCTTTTTAAGAATGCTTTTCTTTTTTTCTTTTTTTAAGATGATCATTACAACTATTTCTTTCACAGTCTTGGGTCATATAATCCCCCCCCCCCAACCTAGAATTCTACATTTGGAATACACTCTAATTCATTCTTATCTTCTCATGGACATGGCGGATGTCATTTTTGCCACATTTCATTTTAAATCAGTCTCATGGTTTATATTGGAGTGGAAATATCTCAAGAATTTATAAGATTAAGATGGGTTTGTTAGATTCAGACTCGAATAGGTAGAACTGATGATTTTTTAAAATTCTTGTGAAAAATTAATCTTCATTTAAACAATTACTTTTATTTAGAAAATTGTATAATGCAATTCCTTCATGTGATATGTCGGAGTCCCACCATATAGATACTTCTGGCATGTGTCTTTTTGGATGCACGGAAAAGAGGCTTTGGAGCACTCATTCATCTTTTATCCTCTATTAAGGGCTTTTATCGTTTGGCTGCTTTTTTATTAGAATTCCACAAATAGACAGTTTTTGAGTTTAAAAGCTGGCTAAAAAAAGAGCGTTGTTGTATCTTCACAATGATGGACACTCATATCTAGTCTGTGGCATAATTTGTCTTTAACACCGTTTAGAAGAAAAGAATGTGGCTCTTCATAAAGATATATTACCTTATCCTCAAGAAATTATTTATGAAGTCCAAAGTTTCCAATCCTTCTTGAATCCAACAGCCTCATATAGTAATTGATAGATGTTGTCATTACATTTATAGCCTAACCACAAGGGTGGAATATTTTCCTTCATAAATTTTAAAAAAAAAAATCAAGGAATCATTACTATCATGGGATCATCTGCTATCTAGGTTTCCTCTTGGAAGAATTTTGTGGAGATGCAACAATGAAGCTGTTCAATCTTTTCAAACAAGTGTCTTCGCACACCCTTGCCATGTATTTCTAACTCTAACCTTCTTGATGCAGTTTCAAGACCTATGCTATCGATCTCTTGCGTCAAGGAAAGATTCATTTCTCATCCCCACATCCAACTATCTTTAGCAGATATTGTTTGGTAGGACATTTTATTTCTTTTGTCTGAGTTCTCTAATTATTTTGTTCATGTTGTTTCCTTGACGTCTGTTCATAGTTATCTAAATCAGTTTATCTGCTCGTCATCTAATTGTAACCTTTAAAAACATCTTTTCTTCTATATTATTTTGTCTTATTTCCCAAAAAAAAAATCACACGTATTCATCATCACTAAGCTTAGCCTTCCTGTTTGAACTTCGCTAGTGCTCCCAGTCGTGACATTGACATTGTCCTTACTTTCCGTTCTTGCTTTGTCACTGTGATTTGCACTCCATGGCTGTGGCTGCTGTCTTCATCTCATTCTTCCTCTTTCAAGACTCAAGTCACCCAACTCGTGCTACTCATGAAGGTAAGGAGGAAGAGAGGAAAGGGAGGAGAGAAGAGACTCACCCGTGAGGAAGTTTAGGAGTAAAAGAGGAGGGAGTGGGGAGAAGAAAAAATCGCATGCTGCCCTTCCATTATACTACTATGAATTGACTTGTGTTAGAGAAGGAGAGAATGGTAGAAGAGAAAAAATTTATTAAAAAAAAAATATAGGAGGGGGCAGAATTTAATGGGTTATGGAGAGGAGGGTGAATAAAGAAAGTGGGAAAAAAAATTATTAAAAAAAAAAGTTAAGAATTTAATATACATAAATACTTTGTGATGCGAGTATCACTTATTACTTATTAGTTTTCATAATAAAATATGAATATTTATATATTAATTAAATTACATTATTTTTAGTTATGTCTACTTTGACTGATTTTTTAAAATACTTTTTAGTCTATGGCAACAAATAAAATACTTTTTTAGTCCTTAATGTGATAGATATTAAATTAATTTAAGTAAATTAAAAATAAAATAAATTACTTAATTCTAATACTAGATTAAATCAACTTCTAAATTAAATAAATTAGTTTGAAAAAATGATAAATATAAAAGATAAACTAAAGATTTTATGTTTAAGATTAAAACCAACTCTCTATGACATGGCTTGAAAAAATTAAAAACAACTCCCAATCAATTATA